CCAAGTTAGCAACAGATGGTGCACAGTGCTCCCAACCGATTTATGCGTCTCTTTAGATATCGTTATACATTACCGAAGAAACTGTGATTAATTTCAATACCGATTGCACAAACAGTTCCTAAGTTTTACTAGTTAATTCTTCGTTGAGTCGATTTAACGCGATCCGATAAATCGACGGATCCATCATCGATATTTTACCACCGGTCGACGACACGCAAATGTACCGACCTTCCCGTTCTTCTTCCGTTCTTCTTCCCTCAAAAGGAACACATTTGACACTCATTGACCCCGAGCAGTTTCGAGCGTGAACTGCCATAAACGATAAGTTTATACACAGACGAGGTCATGTCGCGTAACGAAATTTTATGCGTTATGATCGTTTCGATCACGATTCTGTCAGTCTCTCCGCGAACATATCGCGTACACCATCGAGAACGAATCCAACGAACGGATCGCGTGACGCGGAACGTTAACGGACATCGGAACGATCCTAGTATTTCTTACGGAGTGCCTACCTTTCAAGTCACCGATCCCGTCGTCGTTCGAATCCTTGAAGCTCCTTGGATAAATCTGATAGAACACCGCGTTCCTCCACCAACCCACATTTTTAATCTCGGCGGCGGCGAAGCCGACCGCAACCACGAGTACGACTACTAGGCTGATGTTCTTCATGATTTGTGTGATGCGGCATGTGATTATGCACCTCCTTATATGCTTGCTTCGATGGTAAAAAAGTGCACCGACTCGCGTGTCCTTATCATCCGAGCAACGAAAAAGTCGCGATAGATAACGTCGTATCGACGTATTGCACCAGGCGATTCAAGGAAGCAGCCCGAGCTCGAAGAAATTGTTCAGCGTGTAGAAACGTAATGTAGGATATTTTTAGGGACACAGACGTAGAATCAAGCACTACGGTCTTTTAGTAGCCAAATCCTAAATGCTGAGCAATTCGTGACTCCGTGTTTATTTGTTCATCGTACATTAAGCTGAACTTTTAAATTGCCTCGGGTCACCGGACACAAAGCGTCGTTCGAAAGCCTGATTTTGGCTATTAGGCTTCAACACTTAGAATCTGGCTGCAGAATAAATCATAGGAGGTCGGGGCCAGGCCACGTGCGGTGGTAAATCCAGAGTCCCCACGAGGGTGACCCTTCGGAGGGTCTAACTCGGAGGGAGGAGTTTCCTTCACCCCTGACCTTGGCGTGGAGGGAGTTTCCCCTCCCCGGGGGAAGTGCTTGTCATCCAGACAGGCTCTAAAAGGACCCATTCTGGAAGACAGAGTTAGTGTCATAGTTGTCGAGTTAGTTACAGAGATAGTCTAGAATCGTCAGTTCTTAAATATAATCGACAAGTCGTCAGATGGTTCCACAGTAGAGATAGAGTTGGAGAGAGATAGTCAGTCGGAGTTGCATATTTAGTTAGCACTAGGTTTACGGACGTTATCTGTATACCTATTTCTAAGGACACCTGTCAAATTGACAGGTAAAGAAAACCACGTGGCTTCTTTTTAACGATTAGTTTAATTTAAAAACAATTATATATTATATTAATAGTCTTAATATAAGTTAACTAAATCTGTTACCATCGTATAATTCGAGCAACCCTTTCGTCACTTTGATCCCTGCAGTAACGAATTGGAGATTCTTCGCGGCCATTGGCAGCTCCCGTTTTAACCCTTTCGCTAGTAGGGATGACTAAAGTCACTGGCCACGAGAATTGAGCCAAAAATTAAGACAAGTGCTCCCGTCCTGCCTAGCTCCCTTCACATAGAATTACAAGCGCTATCACTATCATCGGTTTTTCTTTTTCTTTCTCTTTTTCCCAAAAGTCTTGGCCCCGAGTGCTAATGACTGCACGCGAGTAATGTTTCCACCTTTGACACGGCGTTTCGTTCAGCGACAGGAACTCCACCGCGATGCGCACCGTAGAGAAAGATTTAATCGTAGATAGAGTCGAATAATCGAACTTGGCGCGATTCCGAGGGCCATAGCATACGCGTTGTCGAGTCGAGTTAAATATTTCGCGAAACGAGCGATTCGAAGAGAAAATTGTTCCGAAGTTTACGCGAGTAAAGTCGCGTCCAGTGGAAATTTGATAAAAGTTCCCGCCCTCGCCGGGAGAACAACGGAGAAATTTCACGGGATAGGGTCGCGGAAACGAGTCGCCAGCTCCCCTTGGCCGCGATAGACGATTCGAAGTTGCACCAAAGTTTCCTCTGTACAACCACCAAACGAAAGAAGCTATTTTCCCTTGTGTGCTCTATGCGAAATCTCTGAGATTTTCGCGTTCGGTTCGCAACGATGGTTGTTAGCACACAACTACAGCACGCGAATCGCGTGCACAGCTTTGCCTATTCTTTAAAAATCGGCGAGTCGAATTATCTACAACCGGAGATAGGTCAACGCTATTTTCTTAACCTTTTCACTCCTGAGTTAAGAAGAGAGTAGCAAACGCCCTGTCCTCAGTTAATTTAACAAATTTTATTTCTGCAGAGATTGTATTGAAAGATATTCCTCTCTTATCGTGAGAGATGGTGGGACTTCTCAAAACATTTTCATTGCGATCAGAAAGAATGTTCTAAACCCTAACAGTTTTGAAATCCACGGACGTTGTATCACAGCCATGTTAGAACGTGACATACAACCTCTGCAGGAATGAAAGGATTAAAGATGCAATCCAGATGGTGGTAATTTCTTTTATTCTAACCAATCTCGAGGGCACAGCAAGAAATCATTCGTTGCGCGTCGAATGATTTGAAATTACCTCGATGCCTCTGATAATATCTCGATAGCGACTGTGGTTAGCCAAGGATCGAGGAAAGTCGTCTTTTTAAAAGTACCCGCGAAAAGTAATCAATGGGGTGCGCACAAATTATCGAATCGAAGAATTATTCCAATTATCGAGATACGAAATTTATTATAAATACCGATTCTTTGTTCCGATATACTAAAATACGTTACGTAAAGTTCTTTCAATAACATGAATCGTTGTCAGATATAGGAGAGACAATCGAAAGGTATACTAAATTCATGAGGTACCGGTGAGTAACGAAAACGGTACAAGTTCTCATATATTAATGTTTTCAGGTGATCCTATGGTATCTTATCTTATCGTACTTTCCACCCTGAGTTCGATGAAATAAAGCTGAGGCTGAATCGTGTAGCATAAATAATGAAAATATAATCCACCGTGACACGAATAACACGACAAATCATGTCTATTTATCAAGGAACGAGGCAATGGTTCGTAAAAATTGGAAACCGTGAAAACGGTCGGGATTAGGTTCTATAGAAACCAGATTAGGTCCTGTAGCGAAAAGAGAGATATTTTTTACATTTATCGTTTGGAAGTAGAAGGATAACCGGTGATCTTATTACGCGGAATGAAATTTAAGCGAAAATATGAAAACGTCGCGTGTGATCCCATTTCTGGCTAGCGAATGTTAACTTACGAATAGCAAATTTTCGCTGTTAAAAGAAATATTAAAGCTAATTACAGGGGGGGGGGGGGAATACTTGTTGCAATATCAATAATTCCGTTATTCGCATGTTACGTGACTTTTATTCAAGGCTAACATAATTATCATAATAATATCAGGTAATTATTTTAATTACACCCACTTTAATATGCTATTTATTTTGATACTGATAATAACTTAGCAACATCGGAACGGCAAAAAAATATTTGCATACTCGCTAAGATAAAAAAATTGGTACCTGGTGAAAGTCAAACTTCGTATTTTATAGAGTCTCTGTTCGCTCGCGAAATTTACTCGTGTTTAACGTCGATTTTATACGACAGTGGTCTTAAATCAAATATGCATAAATTAAACAGGAAATCGAGTTAAACTTCATTCGATCCGTCGAAGAACGTTTTCCAAAGATAAAAGGAAATTCGTATCATCGTAATCCCTTACTTTTCCAAATGTCGAATAGGTTGTCACTGCAATGCACATGCTGCCGGAATTCTCCACCCTCTTTAAGGGAAGGTCTCGGTCTGAAGCGTCAGAAAATAAATCGTCTCTTATACACTTTTCGCTCGTGTTACAATTTCGAAAAGGAATTCGAAAGTTTCAAACATTACCAAAGTTATACACTTCGGCAGCTGCTGTTCAATCTTCGAAAAAGCGAAACGATATGGCCGACATTAAGCAGCTTATCTCGATTCACCGTTCAGATTTAAGAGTATTTAAACAGCGTCGTGCAGGTACGTAAGTACGTGCAAATATTTCGAAATATTCGGCTGAATACGCGAGAAATTTTCGCGTATATCCTCTTTCAACCTCCGAATATCCGAATTCGTCACTCGTCGTCGGGTGTGCGTTCGGAATAAAGCTCGAGCAGCGAAGTTCTCGGGCCGCGTGTCGAGGAAAACGAGCGAGAACAGCGTCGTTGAAATCATCGACCGCGTAGGTATTTGCGAAAGTTGAGGAACGAAATCCAGCATGGACACATCCATTCACAACGATCATAATCGGCAAGCAGATTGACGTGGCCACGTCGATGCTGGAACCGATACGCGACCGCTTCCGTTCACGCTCTTAGGCCAGTTTTACCTTCGGGCAGGGGAAAAAAAAAATGAAAAAAGTGAAAGGCCGGTTAATCGAATCTGGTCCTCGATTCGTATCGCAGGTTTCGGCCAATTTGACCCGTGGCTGTCTTTTCAACGAGCCGTGTTGAAACGCTGATTCTCTGCCACGTCCACGGCTTGGAACTCGCGGGATTTTCGTTTGGAACGTTGCAGATATTTTTGAAACGTTTCGCGTGAAAATCGATACCTTTTCCGAGTTTTGACGGATGAATGTCGACAGGTGACAGATTTCTCGATGGCTTCCTGATGGAGAATTGGGGTAAGAGTGCTACTCCTCGTTCAATTCGATTTGCAAAATGGGACAGGTTGCCGAGCGCGTGGTTCTCAGGAAGATAGGTACGATGATGGTCGAATATCGTTACAAATTAAATTTCCTTCGCAAATGCGATAATTGTAGTTTCAGTAATATAATTTAATATCGTAGGCTTCGATACTGGTACATCTTATATGTATATTCACATATATGTCGGATAAAATATTTCGCGAAAGTAAGGAGAGCATACGCAGAAAAATCGGAAATTAAAAATCGGAAAATTGTATTATGAAGATGCGTGAAAAGAAGATCCGTCTCTGTGATTTATTCGTTTCCAAATTTAGCACCCGGGGTGATCAAGATCGCCAGTCCCAAGGCAGGAATCCGTACGCGCTGGATATCGGTGATGCTGTCCCTATATATGTAACAAACGGACAAATTTCTGACATTAATTGAGAAGCATTTGTAAAATGGATTTTCATTCTCAGGTTTAAGCAATTTTGGTCGAAGCTAGATATTAAGATTCGTAGATTCGATATGCGATGATCGAAGAAAGGAAGCGACATTGTTTGCGAGAAAAGCTTCCCACGGTTACTCGATGAACGGAAACTTTGTCGAGCTTAACGTACAATCTTGGACTGGAAACGGAACGCAGACAAGTTTTCTAACGAGAATCGGGATACATGCAGTTTCTTCTGAAATTCCTATCATTTTTCCTTCGTTTCCTTTCTTCTCTTTAAATCGGTACAAGAAGCTTGCACGATAGGCGACACGAGTGCATGGATTCATCATCGCGTTGACGCGAGTTAGGTAAATAAAGGAAGAAAAAATGTACACTCACCCGGAAAGTAAAGTAGAACCATCACTGATGTAATACACATTCAATTGGTACGATACGTTATCGAACACTGATAAGTCCACCGTCTCTTCTGTATTCGCGAAGTTTGCTATTGCGTAAACAGATCCGTGGCCCTTAGTTTCCCTGAAGAATATAAGTTCGCTGTTTATTACGAAGAATCTTCACAGATAAAAGAACGTTCAACGACGATCGATCGTATCGATACGAATTTTTATAATAGCGATTAACCAATTGTAACGCTTAATCGCGGTATTGTTCGACGCTTGCCCGCAATGTTCGTGATCTGCTAGCAGTCACGTTAAGTGTCGGCGCCATTTTCTCGCATGTCGCGCCGACGCCATTTTACCTGGCAAAGGCGAAAACGTTCTCGTTCAGCAGCTTCGTAATTAAGCTGGCCCGTTTAAAGTACGGCGACTTCTTCAACGCCGAGACTTTCTTGTAGAAGTTGTAGTACGAGTTTTTGTCCTTTTTCTCCTCGGCCAGATTAATGAACTGGTAATTATCGTTGACCGGGAGCCAAGTTTTCGGGTTCGTGGAGAAACCTGCGAATCGTCATCGTTCGTTATGCTTTTGCCGGCAAATGTCTCAGAAATTAGTTTAATAATTGTACTTTTGTTAGAGAAACGATATCGTATCGAAAAAAAACACACAAGTATATAATATCGGCGAGTTATCGCAACAACAACGATATCGCGGGAAGTTGATTTTTGTCCGAGATGGATTCGATACGACAAACATTCCTTCGCATTATTTTTCCTTATTACGAAGGAAATCTTAAGATATTAGCTATTTATCGGTATCGTTGCGATTTATATAAAGCACGTTAACGAATTACCACGATTTATTTTTATACGAAATCCCCGTCACGTGTCAGTTACACGGTCATAAAAATATTCAATACTGTAGGAATGTTGGTTGGGCATCCCAATGGACGTTGTTTAACACGTTAAACGTCACGTCGGTCCCTCAGGCCTCTCCGGTCCCTCAGGCCTCACCGGTCCGTACGGCCCGGAAGGGCCCGCATGCGGCTAACTATGGCGTGAACGGAACGGCACGTAAAACGTTTAACGTGTTAAAAATATAAAAGTGATTTATTAAAATTATCTTCTCTACGCTGAACGCTAAACGCAAAATTTTCAGTGACTCGAAACTGACTCTCTCTTCTAACATTGTCTACATTCTCTATGCTCTGTGTACTCTCTATATACTCTGACTCGTCCGCGTCTTTGCACCCTTATTTAAACCTTGTACTCTGTCTTCTTTGCATACTTGCATTTCTCACGCACAACTCGCAGCCACGAATTCTAAACTCTCAGACGCAATCCTAGATTTTTCCTCTTCACTTGTATTCGGCACTGCCATAAATATTCCGTTCATACGATCTTTGTATACGGTCACTCGTCCTTTCGCACGCACTCCAGATATTAGCCTAAACACTCGAACCCTAGGCACTTATTTATTGTTACCCCTTTGCGAGGAACAGTTCAAGCGTTCCTATGCACTCTACATTCGTACCCACATAAAGGGTACTGTCATCCAGACGATGATCTCCTACAGTTAAACGATATTAATCTTCTTTGAACAAAATAGAGATATATATAATATGAAAATAGTATACTTTAACGTATCGTAACTGATATCTTGGAAAGGATTCAAGTCGTCTGCCGTCTCACAATTACTCTGTATTATTCAAAAAGTTGAGACCATTCCTCGGTGTAAGAATAAGGATATTTTTTAGTATCTGCTACCCTGCTGCGCGATTCACCCTGTCAGTGAAAAGCTTATTTCCTTCGAAGATCTATGCCCCGAGGAACTCGTATTGCCCATTAACCGAAAAGCGTTCCCTTCGGTCAAAAGTCGAAAACTCACCGGCAGAGACGGAATCGTCCCATTGGAATGGCGACCTTTCGGGGTCCCTGGAGACCGCTTCGTAACCCTGTTTGCCGGCATTACACCCCTGCGGGTCTTGCGTGTCTTCCCACGAGAGCCAAGTGTTCTCCATACCGATCTCGTCTCCGTTATATGTCACGCCGACACCTGGTAGCAAAAGCGTCATCATGGTGACGGCACGGGCTAGTGATGGCCCGAATCTCGTCGCCAGTCTAGGTTGGTCGTGGTTCCCGGCCTGTAAAATGTCAGAAGCTTCATCGACTTTCGTTGTCTTTTAACAAATTCTTCGACATCATTCCCGAAGCTGAGGTAGCAAAAGGTCACGCGAAACACGTTAAATCTCGTCGATTACTAAACCCGAAAACAGCAGACACGAAATAATACGAGTGATTCTTCTATCTATTTGCGTTCATTTTAAAATAAAACGCTCACTCCTGGTTGATGCTTTTATGGTTCTGTATACGATTTATTCATAACCGTGTCGTTGTTTTTCCTCTTTTCGTTTGCTTAATTTACCAACGCTCTAGTATTCCTAGTTCAAGTACGCGCCGTGTCTGCAGTTCTACCTGTTATAGGTTGCAGCGTTTAAATAAACGCAGTTAGTTATGGAAACCAAGCTCGATAATCCATAAATCCTTCGTAAAATGATTAACGACCAATTCATTCGTTTAACAACTGCTCGCCGAAAAAGTTCGCCGTGATACGTGTCGTCTACGCTGAATCGCTTATAATATTACGAAAATGATGTATACGTAGGGAGAAAAAGAAAAAGGTATATAATCAGATTGTTGCAGAATGAAGATATCCGTTACAAAGGAAACGCCTACAAAGAGATACATTTCTGTCATAAATTATCGCAGAATACATATTTCCATGAATAATTCATTTCCCAGGTTGCGCCTACACGTTACGAAACACCCTGCAAAGTAAATGCCAACGAGTCAGTTTTGCATGAAATATTTGTTTCTTAATTTAGTTTACCATTTAAATGATCGAATTTTTAATACGAACGAAACTTTATCGTTAATATCACGAGAATCTAGCTCTAAACTCGATATCGTCGCGTTGTGTTTTCTGCGATCAAACTGTATTATCAGTAATCGACGTAATTAACTATCACTCGTGCGCGTGACATCGACAATACCTAAACTCCGTTGACATTAACCAGCATCGAATTTCATTGATCCGTCGATTCGTTTGATCGGCGGTAGTAACTTTATTATCAGAGATACGAACAGGGAATTTCGCGCTTTTCCTCACGAGCTTCTTCCCTTTCCCCTGCAACGTTTTTTCGCATTGTTGGCTTTCCTCGACACGGAAATATCGGTTTTCCGGCTTGAAATTTCACGATCGGACGCCCGATGCACACGCGGGCTCGATGAACCTCGACGTGTCCGTGGAATTCGAAGAACGCGAGCGGAAAAAGGCTGGTTTTGCTCCCTTCCCGGCATTTTTCAAGCTCGTTCACGCGTGACCGCAGTCGTGCAATGGCAGAGACACGAATTCGAAACAGCCAGGACCATCCAGCCGCTTTTCCGAACGAACGGGTTCAACCGATTTCGCGACGAGCGTTTACCTTCAAGGGTAATTCGATTTTCCTACGACCTACCGACGCGTCCTCGAACTTTCTCGTACTAGCAAATACACGGGTGCTAGAACGGAGGAGGATTTGCCCGTGGAAAGTTTAGAGTTCCTCGAGATGGCTCGAGCGAACCGATAACCGCGTTCGGAGGCATCGAAATGCGAATTCGCGTGGTATCCCTGTTTATAGCGTTATCACTTTGCAAGAAAATTCATGAATTTCGATGAAATTACGCGATTGATGAGATAATTAAAGTAAAAATGGTGTACGATCGAGTCATCTTGACGTCTTGCAGCATTGTCGGGTTGTAATGTATCAGGGAGTTCACACCTACCGTTCCTGGGTCAACGAATTACAAGTTCGTAGTATTACGAAATCGCGGTACCGGTTTAAGATCAATCAAAATCCTGGAAAGATCGATAGTCTCGATTTCAAGACGCGGAATACTCGACAGTCTCACTTCCGAGCTTCTCGATATTTCGTCGAATACTTTGGAAACATTCGAAGGTATCTTACCACCCAATTGGGAGTGCTTTTAGCCGGCATATTTTCCATCCACGATTCGATCGTTTTCTTGAAGTCCGACGCTGTGGAACGCTTGTTCACGTCCACGATCAATCCAAAATTGAAGGGATAATTCGCCCCGTACGCGTAATATTTCATCGTCATCGACATATTAGCGTAGGCCTCGATCATTATGAATTTTGGCTGCTCGAACTCATCCAAGACCAGTCTCCAGTCGAGAATTTGTTTGTAAGTTTCGGGTTGGTCCTTGGTGTATATCGGCTTGGTGTACTCGGGATCATTAGGATTGTTGGTGTTACCGCTTAGAGGCTCGTCCAAGAATCGATCGTCCTCGAAAAGGTAAGGTAAGGCGTCCATTCTGAACCCATCGATACCTTTCCTTAACCAGAATCTGAGGACGTTCTGTAACACGTTGACAAGTATTTATCATTAACGACGTCGACCTTTCTTAAAAGAGGGTTTTAAAAGACGAAACTGCCCAAAACAAACGAAACGAGTAATGCACGATTAATCTCGAAGAACACTCTTAAACGTTAAAAATCGTATTCTAGATATAAAAAATTTCGATTTCGAACGTCGACGAGGGTGGGATCATAGAATATCATTGGTATGCTAAATTAATTCCAAGTCTACAGTCTAAATTCGTCACGTAATTTTAATTTAATTAATTTTAGGTTTTAATTATACGGATAAAATGTGTACCTTTTGTCCTAGATTAATAACCACGTTTTCCGCGAGGAACAAGTGCAATTGGAACGATTTTTTGCGACTCTCAATCGCCATTATGTCCGAATGTAACGCGCAAACGACTAACGCAAGTGACACGTAGAGTACGCGATTAAATCGTACATGAGAATCGCGCGAATATCGGAAAACGACGCGAAATCGACATGGCCAGTTTTGTTCTTGGTTATTTTTTCGAAGATGAAATTTTTTACGAGTCGAAGGTCCGTTCAGCCAACGATTAAATTAACGACTCGCGCACTCTGGAGAACCATACAGTCAGACGAATTGTTTCAGTGAAACGATTACGTTCAGCTACAGAAAAGGACGAAAAGAAACCCACGCAAAAGCGAAACACGTAACGAACGAACGTTTCTTACCGATCGAAAGTGATCTGAGAAAAACAAGGCGATGATTACTTCACCGAAACGTCTCGTGGAAATAAATCTCTTTTGAAGAAATCGATTACATGTCTCCACGATTTTTACGCCAATAAAAATTCCACGAATAATCGATCCCTTCGATCCCACGGAATTACGACTCCCGTATATTACGAATATACTTTGAATAATTAACAGTTCAAAGCCCACATGGGCCCCAGCGAAAAGAACAATTGCAAACAAATTTTCACGCTTCTTCCACGTAAATCCATTTCGTGTTGACAAAATAAAATGACAGCGTAAAATCGATCCTGCTTACACGTATTTTGTATATCTATGATTTATTTACTCATTTGTTTCCTTCTTTTATTCACGGTGTAAGTAGAAAGAAATAATCAACTTTGACCCTGTTCAACAATTTAACCAATTTCACCTCGATGATGGAGTCGCTGTTCCTGTCATGTCAGGACTCTGTTCGCGTCATTTATCACGGCCCGTTCAGATTAAAACAGATCTAACGACGTACTAACTTTATTTGCATTCGTTTCAATGCGATTTAGACAATCGTATATGCGACATTGCGTTCTGTGCGATTCGTGAAATCATAATGCGTTCCTGATATAGGCGACTATTACCGAATTCGAATCTTTGCACGCCATATTACGTTTCTCTGCGTGTATGTCCTCGGTTACACACGAATGCTCGTAACGTTTCAATGCAGCCGGAAGAGATGTTGGGTTCATTGGGTATCTATACAGACATGTCAATACCGTGCTAGTCGGTTCTACAGGTAATCGTAGGTGAAATATGTCACAGAACGTACGACCGGCTGGTATCAATCAAACGAGCTTCGAGATATTTCGAGATTTCGTCGACGAAATTGAACACGCTCGTTCCTTCATTGCTGTTTATCGAAGATGGCGCTGCGTACTTCGGTTCGCTCCGTCCTTAGGGTTTTATTTCATTCTCCTGGCTATGGCAACTCCACTGCGAAAGTGGAAGAATCGAGCTATCGAATTTAACTGGCTGCAAGTGAATCAATCAAATGCTTCTACGCATTGAAGTCACTTTAAAAAATAATTTCTCCGGAAAATTTTTAATCCTAATTTCCGATTGTTCCTCAAAGCAGACCCGATAAACTCTCGTTTTAGTCGCGTTAAACGTTTCAAGACTGTTTCACTGATCCATGGAATATTAAGGATTGGACCAAAATAATCGACCTTATCTTTTCGTGTTTGTCGAAATTCTTCCATCTCGCGTATATTAATTCATAATTCCGCTCGCGGGCAACGCAACCTTAGTCCACAAATTTCACCCATTCCCCGTTGAATTTAACCGACCGTGCTTTTCCCATGTCCATCGAATTTCAACGGATCACGTTTTCGCGGCTATTAAAATTCAAATTTACCGCGAAAATCCGGAAAAAATCACCGGGGCACCGACGGTATTCCGAATGGATTTGGGTCGCTGGAGGATTTCACGCCGGGTTTAAATATTTCACACCGCTGGATATTCCAACTTCTCACGCACAGAAGCAGAACACGCAGAAACGAGAGACGTCCAGACATACTTTTGAAAACCGCTTTAACGCGGTGCGTTTCCGTCTTGGTTGACTTTCGAGAGTTAATGCCACGAGCGAATTCATTTTTATCACGGTGTACAGTTGACGTTCCATAACTGAATTTTTATTTGCACGGTAAAGAAAACTCGCGGCCCGGTACTGAAAATTTTCGCTGAGATTTGTGAAACGAGTAAGCGGGGCAAATAATTGCCTCGCGGTAATGCATGAAGCGATAGAATTATATAGTATAATAACGGGTGTGAAGAAGAATAACGTTGAAATAACGTGTTCCGATCCTTGCCCGTTTCGTTCCAATCGATCGTTTCTCGCGTTTTTCTTTCGGCGATAAAATGTCCGATAACTTCGTGAAAGTGTCACATTTTAACGAATAACGTATACGTTTGATTGAAAGAAGAAAAATATTGGAATATCGACGAAGCGTAGAAGAAATTTGTTCCCCGGGATGTGACAAAGTGTCTGCATGGACGAAGCATTGTTCAATAACAGCGATGACTCGCATTCCTTGGAAAATCACTCGTCGGATCGGAACGTAAAAATGGCTGAAAGTCACGTTGAGCCAACAAGTAGCTCTAGTTCTCGTCGTTTGCTTCGTTCTAACGCTCTGTCATCGAGTGGCCGCGCGTCGGAAAGTCGGTAATCTCGACAGAAATGATCGCATCTTCGACATGGCCTGTTGGAAAAAAGTGAAACCGTAGCGAGTAATGGTTATCTGTTGAACCATGGCTTGGCCGTTGATTTATTACGACGCTAATTGTTGGGTATCCGGTTAATGACGACGTCCGACGAGATCGATCATTGTCGCTGATTTATCAACCGTTCGGGAAGCAGGGGAAATAAAAGAGTAAAAAATCGAGAAGAAGAAACGAGACTGGAGCAAAGGTGAAAAAATCTGCGAGAATAAATTTGTTCCTCGAGGGAAAGCCAGCCGTGTTGGGTCGCCATAATTTTCACACCTGACACGCAAAGTATCGTTCGAAGGGAATGAATAGGGCTCGTGTTCATTGTATACAAACGGGATTTATTTCCGGCCTGGCAATAATCCAGCGTAATCCATAATCTCTGCGAACGCAAGGATAACACGATAAAAGGAGAATCACGGTTTCGATGACGTATATTTCATTGTTTACAAGCAAACGTACAAATTGCTCGTCATTTAGGCGTAGTGGAAATTATTTTTCCGCTTTTACGTTCTATTTATTTTTACGAAACGGAACGTCGTAGATCAGGGAAAAGACGATAATTTCGTTACGGAAAATTCCAAAATTTTCAGTCACATCGCAGCCTATGGAGAAACAAAGAGACGATCGAGCAACGATTTGCGACGACGCGAGCCGTGATTTCTGGAAATTAACTCGTCCGATAATAAAGAGCATCGATAGGACAGATAAAAAGATACCTCTATCGCAACGACTACCGCTGAAGTTACACTCAAATCTGTTAAGATTACTCTAAGTAGCGAGATAAAGAGATCGGTTGATAACGTGGCTGCCGGTTCGCCTAGGGAATTTAATCAGTTTCGGACACTGGCTTAAACGACGTTATACGTAACAGGTACACCTGCTCCCATCGACATAACTCGTCGACGACGTGGTTCACTACGATTGTCTGTCTCTGCCTAATTCCGACCGGGGAAACTTTCAAGCGAAATTGCGATTTCATTGCTAACTATGAAACCAGGGCTAATTTCACTCCGAAGCATATTCCTTGCGTGAATATTATGTCTCGACGAAATAGTTTAGGGGACTTGCGCGAATAAACGTCTGAAATCCGATTTTTAGATAAAATAATCGCGTAATCTATGAATATCAAAAAATACAATAAAAAGTATCTTAAATATCTGCGTAAATACCTTCGAGCAGTATAAGGACAGTATAGTCCTGTACGAAATAAGAAAAATTCGATATCGTGGTAATTAAATATTATTTAATTATGGCAGAAACCAAATTATAAACGTGATTTTCAATGTTTCAATGTAGTATTGGAACAATGATAAAAGTAAACATGGTTACACGATATCAAACAAAGAATTCACGTTGTCTGGATTTTACAACAAAGTTATGGTTAATGACAACTGCCCGCGTGCAGTTTTGAAATGTTGTGTATACATCACTGTCACGGTATATATATTATATCGAAACTCACGATACCGAGCAATCAAGTTGTTGACATTTGATAAACCTCGTACTTTCAAGATCGACGTTCTGTCTTAAGTACAATAAATCACAGTTGTTGGAAAAATATTTTTAACAAATATACGGATAAAGCAATTTCGTAATTCGGTGAAATATTGGAATAGAAATTCGTATTTGATTGGACACGTGTATCGCGACTGGATCCGCGACATGGAACGAAATTATTTTCTAGCGTGCGTTAATTAAAATCCGTACGCTACAGTCGACCGTTCCATTCAAAAATCTTACAAACACGTCTGTGTGTATGATTCGGATCGAGATCGCGAGGCTTGCTTATTAAAGGCAAAAGGATTCGCGAACGGTTCGAGTTTGCGCAGAGATACGTGTCGCCCTCTATTTTCCGCAGTTCGATATGAACCGGGACACGAACTAGTTCCCTAGATATTTACTCGACGCAACAAACAATTCTTTTCGAGCAACTGGTCTGGTATACAAGGGACGCGTGAAAGAGCCGACATGTAGGAACGCGTGAACGCGTTTGAACAGCAGTTTCATTTATTATGCGATTTAAATACTTTCGCAAAGGTACTCACCTTCATCTCTCGTACCACGTGTTTATCACGGTAGTTCAGGTCCGGCTGTGCCGCTGAAAATTGGTGAAAATAATACGCCTGTCGTTTCTCGCTCCAAGTCCATGCTGGTCCACCAAATGCGCTCACCTGTACGCAAATACCTGTTCGTGAATTCACAAAGTGTACGGGGTACGATGAAGGTTGCACGAAATTTTCCCTTCGTGTATCTGCATTGAATTTTGCACATTTTCTAATGAAATTAAATTAACTGGCCCGCTAATACCGATAATTAATAACAATTAGCCATAAAACGTGTGTCCTTTCGATACGCGAGATTGCGAGAGAGTGGCACTGTGGCCTGGGTCATGCAAGCTTATTTAATAATCACCTGGCAAGTCGAAAAGGGTTGATTTTTGGTTTCGCGAGATGCAACTTCCGGTTGTAGTTAATTCTAATAATTCTAATCGAGGCAAATATGAGAGAAGCACGTATTGTAGTATCGCAAATTTTCCAGCATGTATACGTAGCTTTACGAAGGAGCAAAGCTCAGATCAATTGGGAAAAACTTAGAACTTCCCTTATCGGGAAAATGCATTAGAAAACGTGTGCATGGTGGGAAACATATATATATAAAGAAGATTAAGAGTGGTCGGAGGGCAGTTTTAGTTGTAGACGATTGGTTTGTGAGGGATCCAACAACCCCCACAGTTGAAGTCAGCTTGTCGCAGGTATCCTCGGTGTGGCGGCGGAGCTAGAAGGGTCGAGAGGAAAAGGAAGGGACGCGTTTCGTCCTGGGCCTGCTAGTGGACTCATCGGTAAGGTTACCTAGCAGGCCCTGCCTTAGACGAGGGAGAATTTAGAAATTCTTACCTTACCTAGGAGAGTTTGGAAATTGTACATATAGGAAACTTTTTACTGAGGACTTGTCAGAAGGTAGGAATCCATCTATTCGCGAGGGTGAAAATAATTCCTCTACAAGTTGTTGCAAATTCAGCTGTTATTCAGTTGCGAAATTAACCGCTGTATTAAATTGAGAATCGATCTAGATTCTTGTAAAGAGATAATTCCTATGTTTAATCGTCACTCGTACACCATTGTAATTTATTAATAAATTACCACCACCACCAATCCCTACAATATTAAAACGCTATTTGAAAATGCTGGAATAGTCACTGTATCGTAGTTTCGTTTTCAATTCCAACTATGTACGTTGACGGACGAAATGGAAGCGTAAAGTTGGAAGGAAAAAGCATTGTTCGCGTAATGGAAATATCCGGAACGGATGAAATAAAGGTGTAAACCGATCCTGTCGAGAAAGAACAACAGAAAAAGCTTGTATGCGCGAAAATTTGATCGAATCGTGGCAACGAAACAAAATATGCGTCTAAAAACGTATAAAAGTATCTAAATCTGCCGCATCCAGCTTCACCGTTGTATCTCACTTTGGACCAATTTGCCACATATCGTAGGAAGTTGTAGAAATTCTGCAGAGATATCTCGTTTCTCGAGAAGCACTTAACAAGTTTTACCGCAGATTTGGAAAATCATTTCCCATATTTTTTCCTTCTATTCTTCCTTCCTCTGCTCTTTCTCTCGTGTTTATATTCGCCACCTTTTCGACTGCTCATGAGGTGAAGGATCGTCTCGCGAGAGAACTGAAAGCAACCATCCCCTTACAAATCATGACGAAGTTTCTCGTACTACAGGGTGAAGTTGTAACGTTTCGACTTCTACCCAAGAAACCGTAGACCGAGGTCGATCGCAAACTTTTGTCGAGTTCCTCTCTAATCGAAATCGTTGAAGCCTCGATCCAGAGGCAACGGAACTTGTCTTTTATCCGTTATCCCCTGGTCCACTAAAATCACCGACTTTCTAATACCGATCTTATACACCAAATTAATTCGTCATCTGACAGTCAGGATCTCTCCTATCGAAAGAGAAATTCTAAAAATCAGCTCACCGCCGAGACTTCGATTATTTTTAATTACTACGCGTCGTGAATTTTCAACTCAATCCTAATTATGGTACTCACCCAATTATTCGGCGGATGACGAACGCCATTTACCACTCGTCCAGGCTTCCAGATGTAATAGTTCGTATAAGGTTCAATCGATTCTTCGCTCTTCC